GCCCGTTAACCGCTGGAACGTGCGCTGAACAGCTGCCTCGGCCGGGGACAGGCCTCTGTCCGTCCTGGCTGCTGTACCGCCCTGGCAGTGAGCAGCCTCCCCACTTCTGCAGGGGACAGTTGACAGCTCGGGGAGGTCCGAGAGGCAGGCCGTGGGGCCTTGGGTTGAGCCCCCCTCTGCTACCGGCGAGCTGTGTGACCCCAGGCAAGTCACTCTCTGAGTGTGCTCGCGGTGGGGGAGCGCCTCTCGCGCACTTGGTCTGAAGCCAGAGGTACCTCGGCTCACACCGTCCCAGCGCCTGGCACGTGTGGAGGTGTATGGACTGTTGCTGCTGTCACCAAGCGGTGAGTGGCGACAAGTTCTGTGGGGGTTTTTCCTCCTGGGTGTGCCGTGCTGGGTAGGGTGGGGCCCGGCCCCAGCAGTGTGGGTGAGGCAGGTGTGCAGGGGGGCGGCTCTGGGAGAAGCCTGGCGCTGCCAGGGAGTGCTCCATCCTGGCCGCCTCAAACCACCTGCGGGTGTGAAAGCAGAGGTGGAGACCCGCCCCAGGGCGCCTCCACTTGAGCCCAGCACCCTCTGCCTCCAGCCGCTGGCTCTGGCTGATGCTGAAGGAACACTCAGGTGCCTTTGAGCATTGTTCTTGGGAACATAGGCCTGTTCACATGGCACCTGCAGCGCTCCGCTGCAACGGCTTAGCAGCAGGGAGCCAGTAGGGAGTGCCCAGCTGCTGCCCCCCGCCCCCCTGCAGGCTGCTGGGTCGCTTCTTGGTTTGTACGTTGCTGTTGCTGTGGGCGAGGCATCCGAGGACTTTAGCATAGCACGGCTCAGGCCTGGCCAGAACCCGGAGTTTTTGTCGTGGGGTGCCACGCGGGCGCCCCTCTTGGAGTGCCCATCTGGGCCCAGGCAGGCACTCGGGATGGCCCCTCTCTGCCGCCCACTCGGAGGGCCCTTCCCTTGGCTGTGGGCCACGGGTGGTTCCAGCCAGTGGGTCCTGACCATCCTCGCCTGCATGGCTTGCCCGTCAGTCGTCCTGTCCATCGCCGGCCCTAAGCCTCTGGCAGCTGGTTTCAGAAAGGCAGCATGACAGAGCCCCAGAAACAGCCTGCCTCTGCGCCGGCTCCCTGCTCTCGCGGAGGCGGAGTATGGGCCCCCGGCTGCTGCCCCCGCCCCCGCAGCCATTGGGATGGCCGATTTCCCTGACCCTAGCCCCTGCCCACCTGCCCAGCCTGTGCCCGTCCTGAGGCGGAGCGGCCTTTTGGGAATGTCCGCAGCAGGCGCCTCCTCATCTTGCTCCCACCTTCTTTTCATGACTGCTGGCTCTTTAGGGAGCAATTCCTGGGGCTTCCGCCCTATTTTTCCCGTCCTACTTCTCCTGAGGCAGCACTTGGCTCTTAGAGCCCTGCCAGGTGGCCTCCTGGGCCCTGGTTTTCCTTGGCTCTCTGGGCAGCCTCTCCCGGATTCCCGCTGCCCTGGTGCCCTGCTTGGGACAGGGCTGCAGTCTGTCTGGAGAGTCGACAGGTGGCGCTGTGACATCAGCTTCCCTTTGCGGGGTGGGGGTGAAGGAGTTGGTACCTACCTGTGCTCCAGGGGTCCTGAGGGTTGAGTGACTCATTCACCGGAGGATGTTGCGCTGAGGAGGGCCTGGGGAATGCTAAGTGGTGGCCGGCAGCTGCAGGGGTCATTGCAGGCCTCGGCTGTTCAGTGGGACTGGCAGCCCCCTGCCCCTTCCCGCCCCCACTTCCCAGCAGGGGCGTGTGCTCGAGTTGGGGCCAGGGCGAGTGAGCCCAGCTCGTCGATGTGCTTGGCCCTGCCTCTGTTCCATACAGAGTCTGTGTCTCCCGCTTCCTCTTGTTTACTCAACCTTTTATGAGAACACGAGGCCTGCTTGGCAGCCAAGTTGGGGGGACCACGGACATTTGTCTGCCCAGGACGGGGGTGGGTTCTCTTCAGCTGGTGCCTTGGGAACCCCTGGCTCCTGGCTTGTCACCAGCAGCGCAGAGCGCGGGCTGTGGCTCCCGGGCATGCGTGGGGGGGCCGGGGGGAAATGACGGCCTGCTGAGATGACTTGAGCTGTTGGGCCTTGGGAGCTCTCAGCTCAGCGCCTCCCTGCGCCTTCCGCTGGCGCTGGCGTGCTGGGCCAGGGGCCTGCGAGAGGGTATGTGGTACAGACAACACGGGGCCCAGAGTGTAGGGACAAGGAAGTTCTGGAAGTCCGTGCCTCCTGGTGGGTCTGCTCTGCGGTGCTGGGGTCGCAGTCCTCGGCTCCACCGGGCCTGTGGGGGCCTCCTGCAGATCCAGGGGGTCTCCCTCCGGCCAACTCAGCTGCTGTGTCTCTCCTGACCGGCTCACTCCACGTCCGCCTGTGTCCTCTGGAGAGCCGGGGCCCCGGGCCTGCTTTCGGTCCTGGCCTCATACTCGGGGGGCAGGAGGCGCCATCTCCAAGGCCCGTTTTCTTCGGCATGCCAGCTCCAGGGCGCTCGGACCAGCCCTGGCCTGAAGACCTTCGTGGCTGGGCGGCCCAACGAGGCAGAAACCAGTACAGAGGTGCCAGCAGGAAGAAACTGGCGAGCAGCCAGACGGATGTACACCCTAGTGGGCACTGGGGGCAGTGGGCCCTTTGGGGGAAGCTACAGTTTTCAAGTGGAAGGGGTGAGGCCAACCAGCCACCGGGCAAGGTGAGAAGCTGCGTGGTTGGGTGCCGCAGGGCCGAGCCAGGAGGGAGACAATGTCACAGGGGCTTGGAGAGAGGTTGCCTTGGCGCTCCTTGGGGCCTGGTGCAAAGCTGTGGGAAAGAAGGGGTGAGGGTGTGGGGGAGGTGGACAGCAGTGGCCTCTCCGCAGGTGGCTAGCTGATGGCCAATGCCAGAGGTGGTGGTCAGTGGCAGTGATAGTTGGTTAAGTCAGGAGGGGGGAAGCGAGTTTTATAGGGGGACTGGTCAGCTGCCCCAGATGCTGCAGAGCTGGCACCCTGAGGCGCCCCGGGTGCAGCAACATTGTTGGTGATCCTGCGGGGGCTTGGCCAGGACGGGCCCTCCACTGGCAAGGCTGCAGGCAAGGAGGATAGAGCAGGAGGCTAGGGCTCAGGCCTGCCGAGTGGGGTGGGCGAAGGGAAGTCTGGGGTGCCGGTGGCTGTACTGGGGCGATCCAGGTGCATGGGGTAGAATTGGGCAGAGCTGTGCTGGAGCAGGTTGGACAGACAGGGCTGACGGGAAGGGGGGCACCCTGTTGATGGCCAGGCCGAAGGCGACCCCCATGGGCTGGATTGGCGTCCGCGTGTTGGCCCTGGCTCTCCACGGCTGGGAGGGTGCTGAGGAGAGCACGGCTCCTCGCGCCCTGCTGCTGTCACTGCCGCCCACCCGCCACCACCTGGGCCAGCCTGCCTGGGGAACCGGGGCGACGGCCACGGTCACACACGGCACTTCTGGAGCCTGCCCGCGTCAGCCGCCGGCCCGGCTGCGAGTGGGAAGAGCGTCACCCTTGCGCTTGCCCACCCCTCTCTGCTGGGCCGCCAGGTGGCATGCGTGCCCCCAACCTGTCCCGGCTGGAGGAGTGGTGTCTCCCTGGCCCCAGGTCTCAAGCTGCCCGTCCTCTGCTGGGAGCTGGGGCGTCACCGGACTTGCCTCCGCCTAGGCTCCGCCAAGGGGCTTGCTTCCCAGCCTGTGCAGAGGCGCGCCGTTCTCCTGGCTTCCGGATGCTTCCTCCGCCTCAGGGCTCCGCTCCTGTGGGGGGCAGGCTGTTCACCACTTGGGGGCTGAGGCAGGGAAACCTGAGCCCCAGGCCACGAGGTCCCAGCTGCTAATTTTAGAGAGCACATGTCACTGGAAACTGTCCCCTCCTGCCAGGAGCCAGACCTGGCTCCGCCCGTGCTGCCAAGGGCCCCTGGAGCCTTGCCCCAAAGCAAGCCCCTCGCAACCTGCTCCCCTCGGCGCTCCCTCCTGGCAGGCCTTGCTAGGCCCCAGGCCGGGCAGAATGCTCCCCTGGCCTGCCTTCCTGTCCCCTGGGGCTGACCCTTCACCAGTGTCGCGCAGTCTGCCAGGGTGGCAAGGCTGGAGCGAGGCGCGCTGTGTGGACACGGCCAGGACAGCTGTTTCCTCTTCCCGGCCCTGCACGCACCATGCCTGCTTCTGAGCTCTGGCCGCCTGGCCTATGCCCTGCAGGCGGAACAAGGGGCCCCAGTCCCTCTTGTGACCATGAGTGAGCTGTGGGATTCTGTGAATGGTGGGATTGTGTCCTCTCCCCTGCCAGGTAACACGTTGGTGCAGGGCTGGCTGCAGGAACTGGGCTGTGAGTGTCCCCTGGGTGCCACCCGTTTGCCTCTCATCCTGCGCCTGGACACGAGACATGCCTGGGCCCTGGAAGACCTTCCTGAGGCGGTGCTGTCCCAGGGCCGTGTGTGGCAGCCACCTGTACCCACATGTTGGGGAGCGTGATCTCCACCTGCCTCTCACTTGGCACCTGGGCGGGCTTCCCACGTCACTGAGCACGTGGTGGCTCCCTGCCCAGGCTTGGGTCTGTCAGAGGGGACTGGGATCCCAGCCGCAGCATTTTCTGATTCTGACCGTGACCACTTATTTCAGCCTGCTGAGTCACTCTTTGCTCTCCTGTGAGATGGGGGCAGCGACCATGCTTTCCTCATAGGTGGGCACAGGAATTCAGCTGTGTTGGCCTCACAGAAAGGCAAATGGGCCAGGCCTGGTCAGCACTGGGGCGGGTGTGTCCAGGCCTTCGTGGTCATGCTGTGACCAGACCCGGCTGCGTGGGTCCTGTCTGCCGCAGCGCGCAGCTCCTGCTTCCTGTACCTTTTGGGGTGGGCAGCAAAGGCTGGCCCTGGCTCCTCCTGGGTGTTGCCAGAGCTGTGCTGGCGGCCTCTCCCTGGGCAGTGGCGATCTGAGAGGCAGGTCCTGGTTGGAGGCAGTCGTGCAGCGGGAGCACGCCTGAGACGGCCATGCCAGTCACTTCTTGCTTGCTTTTGCTCGCTTCTCCCTTTCTTGTCAACACCTACAGCCTGCTCCGACGCCTGGTGACGCTTATCTCCCAGCAGGCCACACTGCTGGCCTCCAATGAAGCCTTTAGAAAGCAGGCAGAGAGTGCGAGTGAGGCGGCCAAGAAGTACATGGAGGAGAACGACCAGCTGAAGAAGGTGTGTGGGCCTTCCTGGCCCTGCCTCGTGGCCGCGGTCTGTCCTGCTGTTGTCCTGCGAGTTTGCAGGGCAAACAGCACTTCTCACGGGGGCTGTGGGGACTTGCCAGGGAAGGGGCGGCCCCACCCACTGCACCCAGGTGGACTTGCAGCTAAAACTGACTCCTCAGTGAGCGGAGTTCAGCGTGAGGCGCGAGTCAGTGAGGGCAGTGGAAGGAAGCTGAGGCCCCTGGGTGCCCGAGGACTGCTCAGCCATGCAGGGAAGGGAGGCCAGGCCTAGAATGCTTGCTGGAGGTGGTGAGGTGTGAGCCCAGCTGGGGCTGAGGCAGGGACTGGGGTGGGTAGAGGAGTGTGGGACAGGCAGGGCCGGTTTCAGGGCTCCTGGACTCTAGGGGGCCTTCAGATGTGGAGAGAGGGTGGAAGGGCACAGGTCAGCTGGGATTTGGCAGAATTCCCCGGATGACAGCAGTTGAATCATTGATGGACTGGTTGGCTCCACAGAGCTGCTGGGAAAGGAGGCAGGGCTAGGGGCCAGGGCGGGAAGGGCCTGTGGCCTGAGCAGCAGCAGGTGGCCCCGCTGGCTCTGTCCTGTCCCTCGGCCGGTAGCCACACCCTGGCCTTGGCTTGGTGCAGGGAATGAGCGGTGGCCTAGTTCCGAGAGGCAAGTGCTTGAGGAATTGCAGCTCAGTGGGGAGGAGCGCCCCTCCCGCGTCCGCCGTCCATCCTGCTTGCCCTCCGGGGTCACCCAGTGCCGGCGTTCTTCGTAGGAAACAGCAGCTGGCGGAGTCAGGCTGGACGGCCGGGACGCTGAGAGGCAGGTGGAGGAAGAGAACAGGAGCCTGAAAGCTGACCTGAGGCGGCTGAAGGATGAGCTGACCATCAACAGGCAGAGTGAGTGGGCGCCTCTTGTCCCCTCGGGCCAAAGTACCAGTGACAGGCTGATGCGCCAGTTCAAGAGCTGCGCGAACGGAAGTGACTTGGGGGCTCGCTTGTCCCGCCCCAGCACTTGGCGCGGCGGAGCACAGGGCTGGGGGAGGAGGCCCGCGGAGCCCAGACACCTTCGCCCTCGTGCTGAGTCTGGAACATCGCACGTGGCCCGGGCGCAGCGTGGGCGCTGCTGTCACTGGGGCGGGGGCCGGGAGGCGGACGTGGGAGGTGGGCTTGGCGCTGGTTGGGCTCTTCCCGTGTGCCCCTTCCTGAGGGCGTCCTGGACACGGTGCCCGCCCTGTTCTGCCCTGGAGCGGGGCATTCGTCCTGGGCGCTTGTGCTGGAACCACTGTCCCCGGGCCCAGAGGTTCCCTCCTGAAGATCCAGTGGGGGAGGCGTGGTGTTTTCCGGCTTCGCCAACTTCAGGGACCCTCGAGACAAACACCAGAGTTTCCTTGGGAGAATTTGGACTCAAGAACCGAAGTAGGCCTGTGACGGGTGTCTCCTCTCGTGGGCTGTGCATTTTACCTGGTTTGCATCTTCCCAGAGCTGGAGAAAGCCGAGCACGAGGCCCTGGCCATGCGGAAGCAGTCCGAAGGCCTGACCCAGGAGTACGACCGCCTGCTGGAGGAGCACGCAAAGCTGCAGGTTGGCGCATCTCGTGGCGGCTGCTCCGTGAGGGACGCCCCCACATGCTGCTTCCTTCGGGCCTGGCACAGGCAGCAGGGTGTCTGCTAGGAACCCGCCCCCCTACCCCGCCCCACAGGGCACTGAGCTGGCTGAGTGGGCTCAGAGGAAGGCCTGCCCAGCGTGCTGGCCGGGCCCAATAGCCAGAGGCCTTTGGCAGTGGGAGGGGAGTGGCCTGGGCAGTGGGCTCAGCCTGCTGTGCCGCCCCCCTCCCCCCACTCCCACGGCTGTGGGCTGAGAGGCTCCTTACACGTTGCCCCAGCCGGGCGTGGTCTCCTGATCCAAGTCCAAGGCTGTAGGAGGGCCAGTGCCGGCGGCCTTCTCTCCTTCGGGTGTGGGATGGGGTGGGCCAGAGCACCCCCTACTTCCCAACCTGGCATCTCCCCTCAGACTGCACCTGGAAGCTTGGTGGCCCTGAACTTGGGTGCACGGGACTGTGCACGGTGCTGGTGCCTTTACCTGAGCACCACAGCAGGCGGAGAGCAAAGACCCAGCCCTCAAAGGGATCGGACACCCTCGTCTTGGGCTGGCTCCTGGCAGGCCTGGGCTCTGGGGTGTGAGGTTGGGAAGAGCCTTGGCTGGCTTCGGAGGGGACTTGACTGTGGAGGCTGCCGTGGGGTGCAGGTGCTGCCGTGCGGCACCCAGATGGGGCCAGCAGGGTCCAGGGCCCGTGAGGGCCTGGAGGGCCTGCCTGGGGCAGTGCTGTTTGTGGGTTTTGCTGGAGCAGGGTCTGCAAGTGCTGCCCAGGGCGGGCCCCACCAACCCACAGCTCTCACTTCATGCCCCTGTAGGCGGCTGTCGACGGCCCCACGGACAAGAAGGAGGAGTGAGGCCCCAGCGCGCGGGCTGCCTCCGCCTGCCTATGCCTCTGGAGCACGCCTTGCCCGTGGTCCTCGGCTTGCTGCTCTGCTTCCACCCCTCGAGCCTCTTGAGTTGTGTCTCCCCCGTGTTCCAGGGGGCCTCAGTCCCAGCAGCAGGCGCCCAGCCCTCGAAGGGGAGTGCCCTGGCTGGCTGAGCGGGCTTGCCGCTGCTGGGCTGAGGCCCTGTGTTGTACTTTCAGGTTGGGGCGCCAAGGCCCATTTTCTCTGGTCCGCAGGAGGGTGGAGGGAGCAGGGGAGTGTTTTTCCTGAAGGCAATTAAAGTTGTAATGCTCTTGCTGGTGTGTGCGTGGAACTCGGGCTGCCAGGGCATGCTGTCCCTGCTGAAATGACCTGGACGTGGGTATAAGCCGCTCGGAGATCCCCCAGTCTTGCCCTGGAGGCCGGCAGGGTGTTTCCCTCGGTTTGCTCCACACCCTGAATGTTCTCTTAGCACCCCACCTGCTCCCGTCTTCCTTACACCCCAGTCTGGGCCCCCCCCCCATGGCCACTTGGGGCCTGTGTCCTGCCCATCTGCCTGGGGGGGGGTCCTTGGGAGACGCAGTAAGTCCGTGGGACTTCCAGGTGGCAGCCCCGCCGCGGCTTCTGGGTCCTGGCCGTCACATTTGGGAGATAGCACGCGGGAGCGCGCCACCAGTCCCTTCCGGCCCCGCCCCGGAGGCTCGCGGATGGCCTCTGAGTGCCAGCTGACAGAGGAGACTTGCCCTTGACAGTGACCTGCAACTGGCCCAGGGCAGAGCTGGGCTGTGCTGAGGGAGTCTGGGTGGGTGGCAGGCCCCTCGCGTCACCGCGGCAGGCTGTAGCAGGTGCTGTGCCGAGCAGGGCCTAGAATTTCCGGCCAGCCTGAGCGCCAGGCCCTGGGGCAGGGCTGGGGCTGCCGTAGTCTCTTAGTATGGCACTTGTGTCCTGGGAAGGCTCGGGGAGCAGGTTGGCATTTCCTTTGGAATGGGGTGTGCTGGAGCTCTGGGTGTGCACGGGCAGCCATTTGCCACTGCCAGCCCCGCCCAGGCCTCTGTCCCCATTTTGTAGTGTCTTGTGCCCATGCTGCCCTCTCTGGCCAGTCTATGAGGTGGCGTCTGGGGGGCGGGGTACAGTTGACACCCACTGGTTGCTATGCTAGGGCCGAGGGCTAAAGCCACTTTTCCAGGAAGTGCCCCTGACTGCCTTGGCCTCCCGGAGCGCACCCTTCTCTGAACTTCTGGAGGCCAAAGTCTAAACAGCGTACCCGTGGGTTCTACCCTGGCCAGCCTAGGCTGGGCTCTGGGGCAAGTTGCCCCAGCCCTGTCGTGGAACACGCTTTCTGGCAGGGCTGTGGTGGCCAGCAGCAGCTCCCCTTAGGTAAAACCAGGACTCCCGCCCAGGCCAGACTAGAGCCATCTCCGGCGACAGGCACTCGCAGGGCCTGGTTTTCCACAGCCGCTTCACGGCTAGCTGCTTGAGGGCAGATGCCAGTCCCTCGGCCCCTTGTCCCAGCCCTGGAGCAGACGGCCCAGTCCCTGAGTAGAGGCGCCTGCCCTGCGCCCAGGTCTTGGCCAGGCCCTCCCGCTTGCCAAGCCCTCTCCTTGTGATGTCGGTGGCATTGTAGCAGGTGGCTCAGAGGCCACTTGGCAAGAGGTGACGAGTACCTGAGCCAAGCCACGGTGGCAGGCGGGCTGCAGTGACAGGCCTTGAGGGTTCAGCGTGAGGCGGGTGGAGCTGAGACCTGAGAGGAACTTGGGAGGCCTGCTCTTTTCCCTGGTGGCGTCACAGGGGCCTTAGGGGAGCCGGCTCAAGATAGGGGAGCTGCTGGCATGCCGTCTCCTTGAGGTGGTTGGCGGGGCAAGAGTGCCCTGAGGTTCGTGGAGGGAAGAAGGGTCTAAAGCTACAGCTCTGGGTCTCAAGGTCGAGCCCAGTCAAGCCAGGCCTGCTAGGCTGAGGTGCGTTGGCCACCGCATCACCCCCACTCCCTGGCTCTTTTTGGTGACACCAGAGGGTGACCGCTGCATCACAAGCGAGAGCCCACCCTGCTCTCTGGTAGAGGGTCAGAGCCCCCTAGTGGGGAGGCGGGCCTCATGAAGGAGCCGGAGTATCTGGGGGGCACCGGAGGCCACCCTTTCCTTGGTGCAGCCAAAGGAAACACCACTCCCAAACCGACCCCCAGTCCTGGCTGGCCTCGGCCCCAGCTAGCCCTGCCTCCTGGCCTGGGTGGGGGGCCCACTGCCTCTTAGGCACTGGGCCCCACCCCTGAGAACCCGAATGTGTCCACTGACTGGTCCTTCTCTTTGCACACTGCACGGTGGCCAGACATAGGCGACGCAGCACTGCTGGTCAGGGCGCCTTGGTGAGCAGGCCAGGCTGGGGCCAGAGCAGTGGAGGCCTTCCACGCATCCGTTGGAGACCTGCTGACTGCCCTGGGGCGGCAGGCTTGCCAGAGCCCAAGCCTGTCCAGGCCCGCCTCCTGGCAACATAGTCGACCCCTGGGCTCAGGTTCCACCTCTTGGGACATCCCTGCGCAGCTTGGAGCCTCACATCACCACACCTACCAGTATCCCTCAGCAGGCCCCCATCCCAAGACTGCTCCCCAAGCGGCCAGGCCCTGGGCCTGGAGCCACCAGGCTGTGCGGGAGGCCTCTCCCTCCTGCTCAGCGTAGCCTTTGGAATCCCCTTCCTTGGAAGACCGCCCTCTCCCGAAAGCCCTCACGTCTCTGAGCACCCCAGGGCTCCTGCCGAGCAGTGGTTCTCCTCTGCTCCCCAAGTGCCTCAGGACCCGGGGGGCGGCTTTCCGGCCCTTCTCCCCGCTTGGCTCCGGGTTCCCGGCTCCCGACACGGAGGGATGAGGGTGCAGAGACCCTGACAACGAAGCCCTCGGAACGGCAGGGGCCAGGCGGAGGCAGCGATGGAAAACGACAGGGTTTTATTGCTATGTCGCAGTGGCCTTCAGCACAGTAAGAATGTCCCCGCCGGCCGCCGTCAGGGTGCAGGCGCAGGGCGGCCTCGGAAGGGCCACTCGGCCGTCTGGGAGCCGGAGGGGACGCCGACGGGGGTGAGTGAAAGCTGCTACGTGGAAGACTTGAGCCGTGGAAAGTGCGCGGGCCTGAGCTCCGGGTGGGAGCCCGCCGGAGAGGCCCTCCTGCCGGTGGCCACCTGGGGGGGCGGTCCCTGCAGGCCAGCCGCCCAGGGCAGCCCCGACCGGACGGGACACGGCAGCTCTGGGCGGCGGAGTGTGCGCGGGCGCCCTCGGGGGGGCCCTGTGCACTCCCCGTCACCCGGCCGGGGTTCACATGCACACCATTCACCAGACTCACACAGCTGGAAGCTCTGCTCTGCCTATGAAAATAAGATCTAGAAATTCACACTCCGTGGCGAGGGGAGGGACAGGGAGGCTGGAATTGACGGAGGTGGCGAGGGGCTGCAGGGCAGTTTTCTCTTTAGAAATATACAAGCAGAAATCTCTCTCCTGGAGTTTTTATAAAATGTGCAAAATACAAGCCTCGTCGCCCACAGGCGCCGTCCTGCGGGCGTGCGCCCGGGCTCAGGTAGAGCGTCGCACGCTCGCGCCGGCGTGGCGACCACTGGCGCAGGAAGCGGGGCTCCTCGCTGGCTCTCTAAGCTGCTAGGGGGTCCACGGAGGCATTCCCGGGCCCTGCCGCCCCCCCTCCCCTCCTGCCCGGCAGGCCCCAGCTGCACCTCTGCCTCAGGTGAGGACCCGCAGGCGCACTGGGCAGCGCCTAGGCGGGCGGCCGGCGGGGCTGGGTGGGGCGGGGGCAGGCAGCAGGCCTGGGAGCAGCTTGGTGGAGGGGCGGGGAGGCAGCTATTTTTGGTGGGTTGTGATATTTTTGGCGTTTTATTAAAAATGGAAAAAGTTATTTTAGTTAGCACGCGTGGTGCTTCCTCCCTTCCCCCTCAGGCAGACCCCAAAAGTGACAGGGAAAGGCAGGCCCCCGGGAGAGAGGGGTGGGGGAGCAGGGGCTGCTATGGCTACAAGAGGTGAGCTGGTGACGTGGCCGCGGGCCGTCACATGACGCTCTCCACCACCACGACTTTGCTGCTCTCGGACACTGGGGTCAGGGTGGTCAGGCCCCTGACGTCCGAGTCCTGAGCGCGATACTCCAGGTGGTGGAGGCCCCAGACAGGCTGTGTCAGGTGCTGCCAGCGCTGCGGGAGAGAGGCCTGTGAGGCCCCACCGACCTCCCAGCTCCCGCCCCACTCAGCACCCAGGGCCGCACCCTGCCCGGCACACCCCGGGGCCCTGAGCCTGCGCCAAGGAGACGGGAGGGGACGGCTGAGGCAGGCATGCAGGTGAGGGCAGGCCCCGCCCACAGCCGCAGAGGCCGCCGTCCTCCGCCCGGCTGAGCTCCTGCCCACAGGCCCAGCTGTCCCGACTCCACGGGAGGGAGCTTCGGAGGAACTGACCTCAGCCATGGTCCCCTTGGCCCTGAGGAGGCAGCCCGCAAGGTGCAGGGGCACGCACAGCATGGAGGACAGCGCGAAGGCCCAGCCCATGGCCTCGCCCCACCACGGGTACACGTAGGTGTTGTTGTAGACCAGCGGCTTGTAGTACACCGCGTTGAAGATGAAGATGCCCTGCGGGGAGCACCGTCAGCGGCGGCAGCGGGGGCCGGGGTCTCCGGCCTGCCCGGCACCGGCCTTACCATGCAGACCAGCGGGGTGAAGAAGGACCAGCACCATTTCATCCAGGGGCACGGTCGGTACCCGATCATGCAGGCCACGTCGTCCATGAAGCGGTCAGCTCCTGGGGCATGGAGACGGGGCAGCTGGAGACCCGCTTCCCTCCCGCCCCGCCCCACCCCCACCCAGGTTCCCCCAGCCCGGACCTACCGTACACCCAAGCCACCACCACGCACTCCCAGAAGGCCTGCCACAGCAGGGTCGTGCCGCTGGCTGAGTAGTAGTCAAACAGCTGGAAGACATACATCCCACCCTGGGGACGCAGCTGGGTCAGGCTGCTGTGCCGGCTGTGGAGGCCCAGGGTGGCCCTCCCTGCCCCACTCACATCGGTCACCATGGAGAGGTCGATGACAAAGCAGAGGGCGCAGCAGAGGGCCACGGAGATCTCCCTTTGGAAACGGAAGTAGTAGGAGGCCGGGAGGAGGTCGAGCAAGCCAGTGATGAAGCCTTCCACACCTACAAACTGTGGCCGGGCCCTCAGGCCGTGCCCCTGGGCCAGCCGCCCTGTCCCGCCCCAGCCCGCTGTTCCATCACCCTCCTGCCAACCTGACTGTCCAGGCCGAGCAGCAGCAGCATGAAGAAGAACAGGGCAGCCCAGAGCGGGGCCACGGGCATCAGCGTCACAGCCCGGGGGTAGGCGATGAAGGCCAGGCCTGGCCCTGAGGGGAGAGGCATCGTGCTGCCAGACCAGCACCCAGGCACTGGGTGGAGGCTCCACTGGGCCTCAGTGTGCTGTCAGGCAGCTGCTGCAGTTGGGTGTCTCCAGGCCCCTGGGGAGGCCCAGCTGGCTCAGCAGCCCCCGGGGGCGGGGAAGGGGCTCATTGCTAGGTCTGAGCTGGCCTGAGCTGGCTGGGGACAGCTGTGCCTTGCCACAGGTCAGCGGCCTGCCTCCGAGCCTGAGCCAAACAACGGTGTGTCTGTACCTTTCTCAGGATGTCTCCTGTGTGTGCGTGTGTGTGTGCACGCACAAGCTGGTTCTGTAGCAGCGCCTGCGGTGCACGGAGGTGGCACAGGGCCCATACCTGATTCTGCCACCTTGGAGATGTGCACTCCTTGCTCCGCCGCCATGAAGCCCAGAATGGAGAAGACCACGAAGCCGGCGAAGAAGCTGGTCCCACTGTTGATGAGCGCCAGAATGATGGCGTCCCTGAGGAGGGACCGGGCAGGTCAGGCTGCCTGCTACCCTGGGCAGGTGGGCGGGGGGAGGGTGCGGGGCAGGCTGCCTACTTATAGCAGTTGTTGTTGAAGCGATTGTAGCTGCCCAGGGCTGTGAGGGCCCCTAGGCCAATGGCATAAGAGAAGAAGATCTGGGTCCCAGCGTCTATCCACACCTGGAGAAGGGGCAGTAGGTGAGCGGCTCAGGAGGCCTGGGAGCCCGCCCCCACCCCGGCCAGCACCTCACCTGAGGGGACCCCAGCTTCGACCAGTCGGGCTTGAGATAGTAGACGATGCCGTCCAGGGCGCCGGGCAGCAGCACTCCACGCACCAGCAGCACCACGAGGACCACGTAGGGGAATGTAGCGGTGAAGTACACGATCTGGGGGGCAGGCAGCTCAGGGGGGCTGGGCGCGGCCCCCCAGGCCCTGCCCAGCAGACACCCCACGCCCTGGAGCGCGAGGCTGGCGCCTGGGATCAGACGTGAGGAGGAAGGGGCCAGGCCCCCTAGCCCCCGCTCCCCGAGAGGAAGAGGGGGGCCGGGCAGAGGCAGCACCACCCCAGGCCTGGAGGGTCCCTCAGCCTGGGGCAAGTGCCCTGGCCCGAGACATCCTGTACAGGAAGGCGTGTGCTTGGGGTCACAAGTGGGCCCCAGGCAGCGAGGGCTCCAGCCCCTTTCCGAGGGGGCCAACTTCACCAGGTGTTCCTGTCCTGCCCTCAGCACAGTCTTATCACCCCCAACCCCCAACTAGACAGGGAGCCCTGGGTCCCCAGGGTCACGCAGGCAGGCCACCCAGACCCGGAAGCAGGCTCAGTGGGTGAGCAAGGAGGAGATGCAGTCAGGGCAGGAGGAGGCTGACAGGGAGGGCAGCCACAGCCCGGGCCTCTGCCCTTAGGGAGGAGCCAGTGGAGGTGGACTGGGAGGGTGGGGAAACTGGGCCAAGGGGCCTGGAGCAAAGTCACTGCTCTGCTCAGGTCCTGGCCCTGCCCAGTCACCACTCTGGTGGACACACACGCTGGGCCACGCTCCCCCAGTACCTTTCCTGTGGACTTGACCCCCTTCCAGACGCAGAAGTAGACCAGCACCCAGCAGGCCAGCAGACACAGGGTCACCTCCCAGTTGAGGGCCCCTGGCATCTCCAAACCCCCGGAGAGGCGCAAGACTTTATTCCTGGGGGCGGGTGGGGGAGAAAACCCCAAGGATGAGCTGATGAGCCTCAGAGGAACGGCTCCCCTGGGAGCAGTGCTGGGGGGACATGGTTGCCCTCTCCCACGGCCCAAGTGTCCCGGTTCCCTCCCAGGCCCTGGGAAGTGGGTGGCTGCCAACTCAGGTGTGACCCAGGGAGGGTGCCCAGCGCCCAGGGACCGTGACCGAAGGCAGCGATGGTGCCGAGGGCACAAGGGCCGTGCCGCCTGGCTCGCCAGCATGGGTGTGAGGGGCGGGCCGGCCCAGGGGCGAGTGCCGCTCGGCACCCCGGATGGGCGTGGGGGTGCAGGCTGTGCCCAGCACACACAGTCTTGTGGGAGCCGAGACAGGACAGGCCCGACCCGGCGCCTGACTCACTCCCAGAACTCGATGACCGGGGACCGGCGGTCAGCAAGCTGGTCACATGTGAGGTTGGCCAGGCTGGCGTTGGCACAGTCTTCGTGGCGGAAGATCTCCACACAGTCGGGCGTGTTCCAGGTGTGGCCGCACGTGGCCCAGGGCAACGTGGTGGTGAAGGACTTCACCAGGTAGTAGAAGCCCCAGGCCAGCACCATGATGTAGTAGGTGTTGCAGTAGAAGACGATCACCATGGAGGCGTAGCCCAGGCCTGCGGGACCGGCGGGCTGCGTGTCCGGCCTGCCAGGGGCGGCCAGCACCCCTCTCCGCCACCCCCCACCCCGTCTTGCTCTGGGGACTTCGGCTCCCCGCCAGCCCTCCCCTGCCGCCATCCCAGTGCCGGAGGGACTCCAGCCTGCACCCGCGTCAGCCTCAGGTCCTTGCTCGCCCCCACGCGACCTCCATCCCCCCGATTCCAGGCAGCGTCCCTCGGGGCCTGCCCCCTCTGGGCGCCAGGTGCTGTGGCTGCCCACCCCCCACGCCCGTCCCGTCGGCTCCCGCCGCCAGCTGCCAGCACAGCCACCGCGCACCGGGCTGCCACCGGGCCTTCTCGAGAGCCTCTCGCGGGCAGCCCGTGTGGCCAGCCCCCGCGCGGCGTCCTCCTAGGCCGCTGGGAAAGGACTCGCAGGCGACCTGTGCCTTCAGGCCTCCCGTTCAGACCCTGAACTGGCGGGTCCTGACTACGGGATCCCAGCCGAGCGCCGGCGGCGGGACCCCTGGCCGGGGGACAGGCAGCTGCTCCCGCCGTGGTGGCTCCAGCCACCCCCTCCCCGCCCGCCCCGGTGGGCCCAGCGCTCGGGGGGGTGGGGGCTGTCCCCTGCCCTGGTGGAGAGCCCCTCCCTGTCCACCCCGCTTCCCAAGGTCACGCGGTGGTCTTTGCATCTGGCGGCTCCCTTCGTGACTGGGGAGTCATCATGTGGGCCCAGTCCTGTGCTCGGAGATTTTCTGGCAAGGTCCAGCCTGACCTAGCATGTGGGAAAATGACGGATCCCCGAGGGAGATGGCGGAGTGGGGCGGGCCCGGGTTGCTCACCTTTAAACAGGGGGCAGATGTTCCAGACATTGATGCTGCCGGCCTTCATGAACTGGCCCAGCGAGATCTCCAGGAAGAAAATGGGGATCCCCCCCACCAAGGCAATCAGGACGTAGGGAATGAGGAACACACCTGGGCGGGAAGCAGGGCTCAGGGTGCAGCCATGGCCGGGCCCTCGCAGTCCCGAGGGAACTGCGGGCACAGGGCAGGCTCTGGCTGAGAGGAAGTGGCCCAAAGGCCCAGCGGCCGGCCTGGCCTCCAGAAGCACTGAGAGGCCAGGCGGAGCCAGCTCCCAGCTCCACCCTGACCTCATCAGCACTTCCCACTGGGTGGGTCAGTGCCCCTGACTCAGAGGCCCAAGGTGAAAACACGTGCTGGAGCTGAGTGTCGGGGGCCAGCCCTGTGACCCTCTAGCCGTGTTCCCAGGGCGGGGGGATGCCCCTAAGGCTCCTAGCCACACGGCCACCTAGGGGACCTCACAGGGCAGAGGAGACACGTGTCACACAGGCGCCCCTCGGGTCGCAGACCCCGTTTGCTAGGAGGCACGGGGAGGCACAGGAGGCCGCGTGTGCCAGCACCTCTGTGTGCCATGCCAGAGCGCAGGCCCGGCCTACCGAGCTTGGGCTAGCAGGCAGCCCCTGCCTGTCCACCACCCAGACATTTGCTGGGTGCAGGGGACAGGGTGGGTGGCATGGGCTGTGAGGGTGAGGAGGTGTGCGAGTAGGGACAGAGACCAGGTGGGGAGAGCTGGGCACGTGCAGTGAGCCCTTGTGAGCTAGGTCTGGAGGTGGCCGGCTGGGCAGGGAGGGTCAGAGCCAGGCTTAGCCCAAGAGGCTGGGGGCCCTGGCCCTCGCCTCTGGCCCAGTCCTGATACTCAGAAGCTGGGCTTGTATGCAGCTTTACCGGGCTCCTGGTTCCAGCATCCTCCTGTGTGTGACCTTGGGCAGAGGCCTTTGCTCTGGGCCTCAGTTTCCCACCTATTACCCACTCGTAGTGGCTTCCCTTCAAGCCCAGGGCTGCTTTCCAGTCACAGGGCACATGTGTGCCCATTGCCGTTGCTAAGCTGGGCGGGTGGGTGGACATGGGTGTGCAGGCCGTGGGTCCAGTGACGGCGCCAGGCAGCCCAGGCCGCAGGCTTCCCGAGTCTGGCTCAGGCGCCCAGTGTTCCAGGCCCAGCTAGCGGGCAGGGGGAGGGCAGGGGGAGGGACAGAGTGGCCCATTGTGTGTGTGTGTTCGTGTGTGCACACGCGGGGGCCCACACAATGTGCCACTTGTGTGCCGATGACGGGGCAGCCAGGGCTCCTCACCTCTGGGAGCCCCCAGGAGGACGGCCTCCCCGGCCCACCTCCGTGGCCAATCAGTGCCCAGCCCAGGTCGGGAGTAGGTCCGAGGCGCCGGCCCCCTCCCCCCCACGCTGCCAGGCACATGACCTGCCCAGGGGTGGAGGCGCGGCAGGCCCGGAGCGCCCCCGGCCCGCCGCCTCCCCACCGGACTTCGCCCAGCCTGCCCCGCGGGGGAGGGGCGCGAAGGGCTCACCTCCGCCGTTCTTGTAGCACAGGTAGGGGAAGCGCCACACGTTGCCCAGGCCCACGGCGAAGCCCACGCACGACATGATGAAGTCCATCTGGCGCGTCCAGGTC